AGTTGACATTGATATAATTGTTCTTTAAAAATTGATAGTAAATATGGCAAAAATTGAACACTGATTCTCTTTTGAGTAGTTACTACTTCTGTACTTTTCTGTTTTCTGGTTTTCCACTAAAACGTTACTTTTAGGCACTAAGAGGGTAAGTTAACCTTTGGTATGGACAAAAAAATTAAAAATCTGCATTGAAAGAAATGTTACCAAGTATCCAGTACTTAAAATAAGAAAGGCTTTCTGAACATGTCCTACATCGTTTAACTCTCGAGCCAATCCTGCTTCTAAACTTTTGGGGACAAGTAACAACTACCCACTAGAGAAGCCTGTTTCATTTTTCTAGATCTGTACTCAAAGCATCTTCTTCTCTTTAGTACGTTGATCTTTATGCTCTCCTGTGATTCACAACATCCTTCAGCTATTTAAAGGCTGCTATCATGTGCCTTTGACAAATACTCAGGCAGAATATCTGTCTCTGCATTCTGGCTTTCTCGCTCAGGAGCTATTACAAAGAACTTTACTTACTGTACAGTTTTGAAAATGCAAGTGGCCTAAAGTACTTCAGTTTATATTTCTTAGTAAAAATAAGTTGTCTTCCACTTCAGTTCTCTTAAGTCCTTGTCCAAGTCAACATTCACTTTCTTCCTTTGGGTTCTCTTAAGTAGTAATTTTAAGACATCTACAGCAAAGTCCTTAGACAGCAAAGGACCTTGTTGTGCTCCTTATATAATAAAGCCATTACTTGAAAAAAAAACTGGTATAACAGCTAAATACTAACACACTTACTGTAACCCTGTCAAGGTTTTTCCCACAATCATGAATTGTTTCAAAATGAAGCAATGTTCTGCCTCTTTTGTAACTCTGAGAGTAGAGATAATATGACTGCTCCTTACCATGACCCAGATACTGTTCCGTATTTGCTGGATCCAGTGAATGCCCCTCTGTCCTCATTAGACATCAAGCTGGTACAATTTTTAAAATATATGTTGCAATAATGTAAAATTTACCCTTCTTAGAAAAGGTGCACACATATCTTAGTGTGACTTACTTGAAAACAATTAACAGTCACAACTTATTTTCTCTCCCCAAAGGAGATTTTAAAAAAAATGAAATTCATGGTGGTTCTTAATATGATTTTAGGCCAACAGATGTGAACTTAATCAAAGGTATACTGGAACCTTCTCTTGAGTTTCACTTTGCCATGATTAGTGGCTTGAGAAAAAAGAAAAATATGTATAAGTATGTATATATTCTCTGTTACCAGATAGTGCTGTTGGTTTCCTGTTCCGTGGCTAACTGATGACAGAACTGTAAATGACAGTGCTATATGATAAAGCAGCCATCATAAAGAGTGAAGATAGCAATTTAACCACACATAGTACTTTTTGTCCCTCTTGAAACTCTACTAAAATGCCAGTAAAGAGATGGTTAAAGGAATAACCCTCAATAATAAAGAGAACTGAAGAGATATAATTAAAGTTTGAAACCTGGAAAGCAGATAAACATAGTGGACTTCCTAAATCCTAAGCCACCAAAGGAAAAAAAACCAAGAAGCAACCAGTTGTACTCAGTTAAACCTTTAAATACTCAAATACCAGGAACCTTGGAAATGGGATCAGGGTAAAGGTAGAGCTAACAGTTTCTAGAAAAAAATTTTAAAGAAACACTTGATCATATCTTTTACCCTGGTGTAAAACAGTGCTTTTTCTGAAGAGTATAAAATGTAGGGCCTCTAGACTGGGAAGCACTGGTACAGTTGAAGGTATGTACCATTCATGGTTCATTTTGTGTTGGATCAATACAGTGTCCATACCTGAGGGTGGGTAACTCCAAAGAAAAGAGATTTACTTAGCTTACTGTGTAGGAGGTTCAGGGGTATGGCATTACCATCAGCTCAGCTCTGGTGAGGACCCCATGGTGGATGTATCATAGTGGTAGAAGCACAGTGTCAGGGAGAGCTAATCACATGGCAAGACAGGAAGTCAAACTGGGCAGGGAACCAGCCTTGTTCTGTAACAACCTCATCTTGAGAACTACTTTAATCCCTTCCTAGAGCAGAGTCCAAAATGACCTAATGAACTCCTAGAAGGCCCCAACTCTGAAAAGTTCCATTACCTCTTCACATAATCTCACTGGAGACCTATCTTTTAACATATAAACCTGGTTAGGGGGGACACTGAAGCTGTATCTAATCCGTAGCAGATACCATATTGAAAGCAGATTGAACCTATACACACTGAATGCTGGCAATCTGTCCTGAACCTCCAAACAAGGAACTAAAAGATACTTTTCTGAGGAATCTGACTAACCCAAGAATAAAGATTTTTTTTTTATTGTTGTGCTGGGTAGGAGTACATTGTGGCATTTACAAAAGTTGTTACAATATATCAGATATATCATACTTGAGTTCACCCCCTCCATAACTCTGAAGAATATTTTTATATTCGTTTTCTTATATTAATTCTTCAAAATCTGTTATATATTTACATTTAGAACACATTTCAAGTTAACTAGTCACATTTCAAATGCTGTGTAGTCACATGGGGTTAGCATACTAGAGCACACAGTTCTGAATAACAGAAGTTCTAGAAAAAGAGAACAGAGAAAGAGGAAGAGTAGGAAATAATTCCAGAAAATTTTCAAGGACTGAAGGATATTAGTTTCCAAACTGAATAGGCTTTCAGAAAAGCCCAGAAAAATAGTAGAGTTAGGGCGTCACCAAGACATTTCTTCATATTTCAAGTCACCAGGGACTAAGGAACCTCTATAGGTTAGTTACAGGACCAGATTTCAAGGTGACTTTGCATTTCTCAGCAACAGTGGAGACTATGTATCAGTGCCTTAAAAATCTGAAGGAGAGCTGGGCACAGGTGGCTCAAGTCTGTAATCCTAGCTACTTGGAAGGCTGATATCTGGAAGATCTAGTTCGAGGCCAGCCTGGGCAAATAGTTCTCCAGACCCCATGTTCAAAATAACAAGAGCAAAATGGATGGAGGTGTGGCTCAAGTGGTAGAGCACCTTCTTTGCAAACACAAAGCCTTGAGTTCAAACCCCAGTCCCATGAAAAAAAAAAAGAAAAAAGAACTGAAGGAGGCTCATGCCTGTAAACCTAGCTACTTGGGAGGTGAAAATCTGGAGGATCAAGGTTCCAGGCCACCCGGACAAAAAAAAATTCACATGACTCCCTCTCAACAGAAAAAAGCTGGGCGTGGTGGCGCACACCTGTCATCCCAGTTACAGGAGGAGCTGCGGGAGGGAGGATAGGAAATCATAGTCCATTCTGGATTAGGCTAGAGGTGTGACTTAAGTGGTAGAAGTGCCTGCCTTAAAAAAAAAAAAATTCTGAAGGATAGCACCAACCTATAATTCTGTAACTACACAGAATACCAGCCAAGTTAGAGGGTAGGAAAAAATGCACCTTCAAATATCTAAGATCTGAGCTAGGTCCCATCTTGGGGCACCTGTTATCCCATATACTCAGAAGGCTGAGGCAGGAGGAGTAGTTTGAGGCCAGTCTAAGCAACATATCAAGGCCCCATCTCAAAAAAAAAAAAATCCAAGATCAAAAAATTTACCTGCCTTCCTCTCCTTTTCAGGAAGCTAATGGAGAATGTGCTGTCTAACAAAGAAGTAAATAAAGAATGAGGAAAATGTGAGATGTTTTAGAGAAAGATGAAAGGAATCCCTAGGATGCAGTTGTGAGCCTGGCAGACCAGATTAGAGAAGGGTAGAAGGAACCAAGGAAGACTTCATCAAGAAACCGCAATTGCTAGAATACTTAGTGAGACTGAGCGTGGACTAGACAGCTGGCAGAAATGTGGAGTTGATTTAATAACAAAGACATGGAAAAGTAAGTGAGTAAGAGCAGTTTATATTAAGAGGTTGGGAAGGACATGCAGGTAAAGTGGGTGGAAGAGCTAAAACCTCATCGTTCATAGTATAAAATCAATACTCAGTTCATAACACAGAAACAAAGGAGAAATAAAGGGTGTCACTGACACACAGGTTACTCCAGAGGCACCTGCACACCCATGTTTATTGCAGCACTATTCACAATAGCCAATTTTTGGAAACAGCCAAGATGCCCCACCACTGACAAATGGATCAAGAAAATGTGGTATTTATACACAATGGAATTTTATGCAGCCATGAAGAAGAAAGAAATGTTATCATTCGCTGGTAAATGGATGGAATTGGAGAACATCATTCTGAGTGAGGTTAGCCTGGCCCAAAAGACCAAAAATCGTATGTTCTCCCTCATATGTGGACATTAGATCAAGGGCAAACACACAAGGGATTGGACTTTGAGCACATGATAAAAGCGAGAGCACACAAGGGAGGGGTGAGGATAGTAAGACACCTAAAAAACAAGCTAGCATTTGTTGCCCTTAATGCAGAGAAACTAAAGCAGATACCTTAAAAGCAACTGAGGCCAATAGGAAAAGGGGACCAGGAACTAGAGAAAAGGTTAGATCAAAAAGAATTAACCTAGAAGGTAATACACACACACAGGAAATTAATGTGAGCCAATGCCCTGTATAGCTATCCTTATCTCAACCAGCAAAAACCCTTGTTCCTTCCTATTATTGCTTATACTCTCTCTTTAACAAAATTAGAGATAAGGGCAAAATAGTTTCTGCTGGGTATCGGAGGGGGCGGGGGGGAGAAGGAGGGGGTGGTAAGGGAGGGGGGGTAGGGGGCAGGGGGGAGAAATGACCAAAGTGTTGTATGCACATATGAATAATAAAACAATAAAGAAAAAGAATAAATAAAGGGTGTCACTGACAATACGAAGGTAAAAAGCAAAATAATCAGGTGTTGAAAGTGGTTGATTTTGGGATGGGAAAATAAAGAGGGGTTTTTCTAACTTTGTGAAAGTATGTCTAAGTCTAAAGGATACATATATGTAAATTTATGTAAAAACAAACATGGGCAATAACAAATCTGAAATGAATGAAGGACCTTTATCAGGCCCCCTGCTGACAAGCATCTTTATCTCCTAGCATTGAGTACTGGTTCCGCTGCATGGACATGGATGGAGATGGTGTACTTTCCATGTATGAGCTTGAATACTTCTACGAAGAGCAGTGCGAACGGATGGAAGCCATGGGCATTGAGCCCTTGCCATTCCATGATTTGCTGTGCCAGATGCTTGACTTGGTGAAGCCAGCCAATGACGGTGAGACCAAGAGAATGGCAATTTGCAGTTGCTAAGAGAGTGGGTGACACATAATACAATATTGTCCTAAATTATTTAACTTTACAAAGTCTTCCTTACAGGCTTCCTAAGTACAGAAGTGTTTAAAGTTTCTCCTTAATTATTAGTGTAGAATCAGCAATGATGGCAAATCCACTGTTTAATAGGATTTTTTTCATAGATCTGGAAAGATTAGTGATTGTCAGGGTCCGAGGAATAAGGAGAGACAAGGAAGACTGCTTGATAGGTAGAGTTTCCTTTTGGAGTTACATGTGTGGAATTAGATAGTGCATTATGAATGCACTAAAATCTGAATTGTACATTTTTAAATGGCTAAAATGGTAAATTTTACATTATGTGAATTTCATGGTGATTTTCTAATGTGATCTTTATTCCAGTGTAAACATACACATATACTTTGCAACATCAGTGAAAGTTTTTTTTTTCTTGCCAGAGCAGCAATTTATGAAATTTAACAGGATTTGTTTCTCACTTACCTAGGCAGAATAACTCTGCGAGATCTGAAGAGGTGCAGAATGGCTCACATCTTCTATGACACTTTCTTTAATCTGGAGAAATACTTGGACCATGAACAGAGAGATCCCTTTGCAGTCCAGAAGGTACCATTATAAACTTACCTTTGAAGGCTGTAATATCAGGGGCTCAGTGCTGCATACTAAAATCAGCTCTGCATATAGAAATCTCCCTATTTAAAGAGATAACATTTAAAATATTTCATCAGATACTGAAAACAGAGAAGAAAGCGTGAGGCCCAGGGTTCAGTCTCCAGCAAGATATATATATATATACACACACACACACACACACACACACACACACACGTGTATATGTGTGTATATATATATGTGTATATGTATATATATATGTATATGTATAGAGAGAGAGAGAGAGAGAAACTATATCACCTGTATATACATTAGAAACTAGTTTCAAAGGAAGTTTTAAAAGTGTCCTTTTTTTAAATGCATCAATAGGCACATCTGTATTAGAAACTATATTTGCTGCACTGTGGTATAATTGTACCATGAGTTTTCGAGATCCATAGTAACTGGTTTTCCCCTTTCACATGAAACCCGGAAGCTCTCCATGCTACACACCTTCAGGGAATTAGACACTTCCTCAAGCATTAATGATTCCTGTGCATGGCTATCAGTTTTAATCACTATTCTGCATCTGAATAGAGACAAGCTCCCTTCCCCAGGCACACAACTTGTCAAACCTCCAGTAACCCTGGACATACAATCCATGTCCAAAACAAAAATCAGAATGTCATCCCTTAGTCCTCCATTCCACTGTTTTAAGAGTAAAAATCATGCTGATAGGAAAGGACTGCTTTGTAGGTGACAGTACATCAACAGAAACTCTTGCAGTTGTTTTTTTCTTCTTCCACATGTGGCATAACTGTTGGACCTAAACAAAAGTAAGAAAACAAAGATCACCTCCTAAGAACAAGTTCTAACCTTTGATGCATTATCACTGATACTGTATTTCATTGAATTTAACATGCTTCATTATTTTATATGCCACTAGATTTTTAAAAATGCACTTCAGAGATGTTAAAAGGGAGCAGGGGTCTTAGAAAGTACCTACCACCTTGTGTGTCAATATTTAGGTACTTAAATTTCTCCAGGCATAACTGATCTAAGACCAAGGGCAATACTAACTCATTTTCAGCTTGGAAAGACATTTTGATTTTACTTGGAATGTACAGCCCAAGACACTGCCCATATATAGAAAGGAAGGAAAATGCATTTCCTTTATTGCAGGCCTTTATGTTGTATTATTTTTACTTTTGCTGGTTTATTTTAGTTTTTTGAGAAAGGGTCTTGCAGTGTAGCCCAGGCTGGCCTCAAACTCTCAATTCTCCTGCTTCAGCCTCCCAAGTGCTGGGATTACACATGTGCAACACCATGCCTGGCTTACATTTTTCTTTTCTTTATATGCGGTGGTAATTATGGTGGTTTAATCGACAGAGAAACATTACTAGTCAAGACGTGCTCAGTAGGTTCCAGGTACTATGCTGGAGAGATACTGAGTAGACAAAGATGTCACAGACAGAAGAGCAAAGGGTGGCAACCAAAGTATGGAGAGGGAAGGATGTGATTTGGGAGAGAAGGGCTGTTTCCAGGAACATACCCCAGATGATACAATGTCCAAGCTGGCTTTTGAAGAAAACAGTAAAAATTTGCCAGAGGAGGCTGGGTGTATTAACATATACCTATAATTTCGTAGGAGATGGAGATGGGAAGATTGAGGTTTGGGGTCAGCCTGGGCAAAAATGTTAGCAAGCCCCCAACTCAAAACATAAGGTCAAGAGTGATGCTACGTGCCTATAATCCTGGCTACACTGAAGGCATAGATAGGAGGATCACTGTCCAAAGCCAGCTCTGGGCAAAAACATGAGACCCTCTGCAAAAAAGAGCTAAAGCAGAAATGGGCTGGGGGTGTAGTTCAAGTGGTAGAGCACCTGCCTAGCAAGTGCAAAGCCCTGAGTTCAAATGCCAATACCATCAAAAGAATTTTTTGGCAAAGGAAAGGTTGGCACATACAAACGACACATCTCTCCACACAGCTGCTGTGCAAAGTGTCAGAAAAGAAGGGACTGAAGAAATATCTCTGGTTACAGAGTCTTGACATTAAGTGTTCATCAGCCAGATTTTTATAGTTTGTGGTTTGAGATGTGGAAAATCGCTACAGAAATGTTGCTGTTAACACCTCTTTTGTTTTGGTGGGACTGGGGTTTGAATTCAGGGCTTCTTGCTCACATAGCAGGTGCTCTACCACACCTCCAGTCCATTTTGCTGTTTTTATTTTGGAGATGGGGGGGTCTCATGAGCTATTTGCCCAGTCTGGCCTCAAACCACAATCCTCCCAGGTAGCTAGAATTACAGGCATAACCCACCACACCTGGCCACACACCTCTTTTAACATGTTGAAATGAAATGCTTTTCAGGTTGTTTTTTTTTTTTTTTTTTTTTATGCAGTATACATTTGTGATGACCTACTATTTGCCTTTATTTCATTTTCTGTGCTCTCTTTTCAACCAGGACATTGAGAATGATGGGCCTGAGCCCTCAGACTGGGACAGGTTTGCTGCTGAGGAGTACGAGACTCTTGTCGCAGAGGAGTCGGCCCAAGCACAGCTCCAGGAAGGGTGAGTGAGTCTCCGCATCTGATACAACTTTCCACCAGAGACGCCTAAGTCGGGAACACTACAGCCAACCTTAGAAAATCCTTTTCTGTATTGTTTCTGAACAGCATAAAATCTGACTGAAATAACCAACTGTAGTTAAGTGAATACTTCTTCCAGAAGTCTTGTCTTCCCTTCTTCACTGATTTCTCAGTTCTATCCCTTTAATAAGCCACACCTTTCACAGAACCCAAGGTCACTGAGCCATCACACCACTGCTTTAGAGATACTGCTAAACCCTGTAGTTAAAGGAGAAGGCTACAGGAACTGAAGCTCCAGTAAATAATAAGCCTTATTATGATATGCATGGTTTGTGCATTCTACCCTGTACAAGGAGTAATTTATGTATAATTTATACTAGGCAGGGGAAAATTCCATAAACTAACCATGTTAAATTAAATTATCCAGCCGGGCATGGTAGTACATACCTGTGATCCCAACTGTGTGGGAGGCATAGGTAGGAGGATCCTGGGCCAAGGCTGGCCCAGGCAAAAAGCCAGAAACCCATCCAAAAAATAACTAAAGCAAAAAAGGGTCAGGGTCTCAGTTCAGGTGGTAGAGCACCTGCCTAGCAAGCAGGAAGCTCTAAGTTCAAACCCTAGTACTGCCAAAAAAATCTAAATTATCTGAGAATTTCACTACTTGGAAAATTTTGGTAATTTCATAATTTTCTGGCTTTTTCTAGTGATTCTTTAACAAATCTTCCACTTCTTCCTTAGCCCTTATTTTTCTAAGGCTGTCAATTCTGGCCATTAATATAATGCTTTCAGATGACATGATATTCAAAGAAAGAAACGAATAAATACTAAAACATTTTCCTCCTACTCTCTTTTCCTCACCAGAAGCATCTCTGTGTGGTGTGTGTCAAATATGCATCCATTTTTTTTTTCTTACTCAAATGGTAGTATACTGTATTCGTTGTTTGGTACTTTGTTTTTTCCACATGTAATAATATATTGAAGACTATTCAATAATGTACCTGAGTGACACATACTTTGATAGCTGCATAATAATCCACCATATAGTTGTGCCATTATTTTACAGTCCTCTGCTGACTGACAATAGACTTCTAACATTCCACTACTAGGAATTACAGTGTTGCAGTAAATCATCCTATAGACATGTCATTTTATACAGATTTAGGGTAAATTCTTAGAACTATAAAAAAGCATATAAGCATACTCAAACTAGGTATTTGTAAAGAGTTTACAAAGACATGGAGGATTTTAGAGAAACCAAGCAAAGATGCAGACTTCCATACAAGTGATCCATTTCCATGCCTAGCCCTAAGGGGACAAGATGAAACCATAAGGTAGGCGTAGTGGTGCAAATGTGTTATCCCCAGGCACTTGGCAGGCTAAGGCAGGAGGATTGAGAGTTCGAGAGTTCGAGGACAGCCTGAGAGATTCTGTGTTGAAAAATTACAGGAAAAAAAAAAAAATGATACCATGAACAGAACCCAAAGAAAGTAGTTAGGTAGAAAGGGGCACCTGACAGGATCTATGACTTTCAGTAATGGAATTCTACCAGCCTAGGGCAGCCCTCCTAAGAGGAGCTGCCAGAAAAATGCCCAGTTTTATTCTCTGTGTACCCTTCAGTCAGAACCCAGAAGACAGGGGGCCCTCAGGTCAGCCTCCTGATCACACAACTAAGGGAAGACTGGATCTGGAGGATACACAGAAAATGGCCAGGCCACTGAATAATGTGAAGGAATCCTCCTGGGAGATGGCACCATTGTACAGCCTCTACCATGATCTCCTTAAGGTCTTTTTTTAAGAGTTCAGAACACACCATCACCAATCCCTTTTTTAAAATCTGGATATTTCTTTAATCTGTTTAGCCACAATCCTTGGGTTTCATTTTTTATATCACTGACCTGGAAACCCTAAAAATCTTTTGTCATCTGTTGAATTTCTTAAGCCTGACTATATCAGAAGAGAAGGCAGGAAAGTGAATTCAGAAATGTAAAGGTGTTTTTGGCATTGAGCTTCCATACTAGGAACTAAAGTTAGTTTTTTGATTTTATGCGGCAACATCAGTACAATTAGGAACAGGTGTGGATGTTTACAATAGTGAAAAATTAGAGACAATTAAGTGTTTAATGATAAGAATAATAAAATTATACTATATAATTACATATATAATTATAATGCATCCCATGCAAGCATTAAAGATATTTTGTGGATATGTACATCTTGACTTTCACTAAGGAAAAAGGATTTTAAAGATCAAATAAAATGTAATAGGAAAGATAAAAACAAAAATCCCAAAGAAAATTAGGCATATATAAAGGAAACAAAGGGGATCTAACGTATCTCTTAAGATAAGAGACCAGGGCTGGTGGTAAGTGGTAGAGTACCTACCTAGCAAGCGTGAGGCTCTGAGTTCAAACCCAAGTACTGCCCAAAAAAAGGGACAACAAAACAAATGCATATATATATATATATATATATATATATATATATATATACACACACATATTTCAAGGACAACAGAGAAGCTTTTTGAAAGAAGACCTGAAACACTGATAGTGATTGACCTCAGGTGTGCACTGTGGACTACTAGAACTCAAGGATGAAAAAAGGTTCATTCTTTTAAAATGGAAGTCAGAATGGGGGCGGGGGGGGATCATCCATGCCTTAGATACCTCCACAGTAAAACTGAATAATGAAAGATCATGAAACAATGTTTACAACTTCTTCATAAAAAGAAATCCTGTATGCAAGAATTTTATGCTTAGCCAAGATGATATTCCAGCATAAAGATAGAAATGGACATTTCCAAATATGTAGGAACCAGAGGTAGGTAATACACTACCCTCAAGCTCTTTAAAAAGGATCTGATCATAAAACCAAGCAACAAACCAAAATAAAGAGCTCGGAAATGGAGCAGTTATAGTAGAGAAGAAAGAAGAATGAGCATCCAGTCCATTTAAATGTAAGAAAAGGCTAAACAGCTAAGGGTAGCAAAGACAGAGTCAGAACATACTGAAAAAACAATATAACTAAAATTGGGAGATAGAGATGAGAAAGAAATATGTGTAAATTCCAGAAATAATAATTAAAATTAGGAGGAAGAGAATGTGATTAACAGGTCTCAGCAGATACCCTCAAAAACTATTAAATCAAACTGACGGTTTATAAAATGTTAATTAAGATAAAAGTTTGCAATAGTAAAGCAAAGCTCTAAATATTTTAATTCAGTCACAAAACGTGCACACAAAAGAAAAACAGACCTATAGCATAAACTAATGATGATATGATAAGGCAAATATTTTTAGATCCACCAATGTAAAAGGGATAAAGTGACTTATTAAAAGGTACATGGAATGACAACAACCACCTGATGACATCATCTTTTAGAAGCAAAACTTAATGAAAATAGATTTAAAAAAATACCTTTATGACTCATATCCATAGATCATTTATAAAATATGTATTATATCACAAAACTTCTGAAAAACAGCAACAATATAGAACAGCTTCTGATTTCGAGGTGGTAGACTGAATTGCATGCTGTAGTCTCTCACACCATATAAGAATAAGAAACATAGAACAGGCATAGTGGTTCACATCTATAATCCCAGCACTTGGGGTCCTAAGGCAGAAGGATGGTGTGAGTTTGAGGCCAGTTGTGCTACATTCATAAGACCTTGTGAAAAGAGAGGCAGAAGAGTTCCAAACACTACTTAAAGGAGAGGAGGCGCTTTTAATGAACCACTAAAAGATGGAAAGAAAGAGGGACCAATTGAAGAAGCCAGCAGCTTAGATTCTTTGATAAAATGCAAAGAGTTGTTACAGATAATGGCACAGCACTTAGCAATGGATTTCTGAATTTCACTGAAAGCTCAACAAGCAGCAGTGTCCATGTAGGTCAAACCCTATATACCTGTCCTCCTCTACCCCCAGAGAAACACAAAGGAACACAGAAAGCCCAGCCACACCCCAGCAGCACAGGATAGACTGCATAGCCCTGCCTACCCCTTCTTCCCCTTGAAGACACATTGAAGGCAACCCTGCTTGCCCCTTCCTAAGCCACCAACACAAAGGCAGCAGTCTGTTCTCACCTACACAGAAAAGATACCAGATAGTTGAGAAATACCAACAAAACAATCATTAAACTGAAAGGACTTTCACCCTTAGAAAAAGACAATACAGCATTCAGAACAAGACATCAAAAATGGGGGTTTACTATTTTCAGAGAGATAAGACAAAATGTCACACTCTTGAAGCAAGACTATAGCTGGTATCTTAGAAATGAAAAAAAAGGTTGGGGGAGGTGCTGGCAGAGTAGCTCAAGTGGTAGAGCACCGGCCTAGTAGTATGAGGCCCTGAGTTCAAATCCCAGTACTGCTAAAGAAAAGTTTAAAAAAATTTAATGAAAAAGGCAATCAGTCATTGAATAGAATGGCCACAGCTAAAGAAAAAACATTCATTTGGGATACTGATTGGGCTAATCGAGTTTTAAAAAGCTCTTAGGAAGCAATAGAAATAAAAAGCCAAATATTTCCTAGAATTACAACTGTCCAAATTAATGAACAAACATAGAGAACTGGGGCATGTCTCAAGTGGTAGAGAGCTGGCCTAGTAAGCATGAGGCCCTGAGTTCAAACCCTAGTAACAACACATTTTTCTGGCCATATTATAAATACTTTAGGCTTTGTAAGTAGGTCTCTGCTACAATTACTCACAGATAATTTGTAAGAAATGCATGTTGTTCTATTTCAATAAAACTTTTAACAATAGACACTGACATAATAATTTCATAGTATTTTCTCATCACAAAGTATTTTTTCAGATTTAAAAAGGTAAAAGCATTTTGTTTTCTTCTATACTGGGGTTTGAAGTCAAAACCTTAAACTTGCTAGGCAGATAGGTGCTCTACCATTTTAGCCACACCTTCAGCCCAAAAGTATTCTTAACTCATAGGTTGTACAAGAACAAGTGGCAACACAGATTTGGCCC